AGGAAGATCGAAAATTCAAAGCCAACCTCAGCAATTTATCAAAGCCCTAAGCAACTCAGTGAGACCCTGTCTCTAATAAAATATATAATAGGGCTAGGGATGAAGCTCAGTGGTTAAGAGCCTCTGGGTTCAATCACCAGTACCAAACAAACAGACAAATAGAAGGAGCGGGTAGCTCAGAAATGTTGAGTGGTGGAGAGTCCTGAAAGCCAGACTAACAATATAAGAGCAGCCAGGTGTGGTGGCACATGCCTGTAATCTTCCTGAGGAGGCAGGAAGATCTCAAGTTCAAGGGCTAGGCAACTTAGACTCTGTCTCAAATAAAACAGAAAGGGCTAGGGGTATAGCTCAGTGGAAAAGCACTTGCCTAGCATGTACCAGGCCCTGGGTTCAACCTCCAGCACCAAAAAAGAAAAAATATAAAAATAAAATGAGAGGCCAGGCACGGTGATGCACGACTGCAATTCCAGCAGCTCGGGAAGCTGAGGCAGGAGGATCACGAGTTCAAAGCCAGCCTCAGCAACTAAGCAAGGCACTAAGCAACCAGTGAGACCCTGTCTCTAAATAAAATATACAATAGGGCTGGGGATGTGGCTCAGTGGTTGAGTGCCCCTGAGTTCAATTACCCCCACCCCCCAAAATTTTAAATTTAAAAATAATTATATAAATAAACAAAATGCTGCCCCTGAGAGAAGCAAGGCTGGTATGACCTAGCCTTGGCTGAGGGGGTGGAATGGAGACCTATGCTGGGGCAGGGTCCATGGCATGTGGGCCAGGGGCTCTTTGGGGTTGGCTGAGTCCCTCCTTGGAGACACACGCATGGCTGACCATGCCTGGGGCCATTAGCATGTTAACAGCAATCCCAGGCCCTGCTCGCTGCGGAAAGTGTGTCCTTTACTGCACATAGCAGCTTTGAATGCCAATATCTCTTCTCCGTGCCCAGGCAGGAGACTCAGGATAGCAGGCAAGGCCAGAGATGTCCCACCCATATGCCAATCCTCAGGTGGGGAGAGTGAACCCAGGGAAGGGCAAAGCAGCCAACCTCTTCAGAAAGTGAAGGTCTTTTCAATCTACAGGTGCAGCAGCCTCAGACCCTGCCTGCAGCCTCCCAGGCTAAAACACTGAGAGTGACCTCATGGGGTAACGAGAACTGTGACTGGAGAGGCCAGCAGCTGTGGGCATCAGGGGTCGGGAGGAGGGCTGGGCATGGTGCCAGCAATGACACCACAACCGTGGTAGGCTAAACAATGGCCCCAAAGATGTCCACATTCGAGTCCCTAGAACCTGTGGGTGTTGCCTTATATGGTACGGGGACTTGCAGATGTGATTTAGGATCCTGAGATGGGGAGATTATCCTGGCTTATCTGGCTGGGTCTTAAATGTAACCACAGCGTCCTTATGAGGGAGGCAGGGATGGGGGTGCAGCTCTGCGGTGGCAGGGTGCATGGTTAGCATGCACAATGCCCTCCCTCGGGGCAATTCCCAGCACCATGCAAAGAAAGGGGGCAGGGAGGAGGTGACTACAGAAGAGGAAAAGGCAATGACCTGATGGAATAGACCCTGGGTGATGTGGTCAAAGGATACCAGCAGCCACCAGAAGCCAGAAGAGACAAGGAATGAATCTTCCCTTGAGCCTCCTAAGGAACCAGCCTGACTTTTAACCCCACAAGACTCAAAACAAAGACTTCTTTTTTTGTTTGTTTTTTGAGATAGGGTTTCACTAAGTTGCCCAGGCTGGCCTCAAAGTTGCAATTCTCCTGCCTCAGCCTCCCAAGTTGCCAGGATTATAGGCATGTGCCCCATGCCTAGCAAGACAGTCTCATGTGTGCCACTGTGCCCAGCAAGACTTCCAAAACTTCAAGAGAATACATCTGTGTTGTTTTAAATCACTAGCTCGCTAGTGCTTTGTTACAGCAGCAACAGGCAAGAAACACGGTTCTTAAAGCACAGTGGACAGGGGCTGGGGCTGGGGCTCAGTGGTAGAGCGCTTGCCTAGCATCTGTGAGGCACTGGGTTCATCCTCAAAACCACATAAAAATAAATAAATAAAATAAAGAGCAGTGGACAGGTGGGTAATGGAGCCCACCCTCTCACCCTGTTTAGGCAAGTCAGCAAGTGAGGGAGAAAATCATTACACCTTGAACTGCTCCAACATAAACAAAGTCACCAGCATGTCAGTGTCTTAGTTACTGTTATTAGTAGCAAATCACCTGAGTCCCTCACTGGCAGAAGTCACCTGGCACCATGGCAGACGCTGGCTAGATAGGGGCAGGTGGATCAGGCCAGCAGGCTCTCAGCTTTGGGCCACTCTCCTGGGCCTGACCTGCAGTGATGGGCAGCTGGGTTCCAGTGGATGGGCCACAGATCCCTTCTGCGACACCTGACCACATGTCCTACTGTGGCAGAAAAACCACAAGACATACCTCCAAGCCACCCTCGCCTCAGCCAGTGGCACCCCACACATCCAGGCCTGGGAAAGCTGGGGTCCCCAGAAAGGTTGTTTGAACAAAGAGAAAGGGAAACAGTAAGTCCACCATTACTGTCCAGCAAACTCACACGTTAGACTCCTGTGTCCAAGACAACCTGGATTAGAATCCCAAAGGGACCTGGCCCACTTTGCCTTTAATGAATGAGGAAAGGCAAGGTCTGAGGCCAAAGGGAAGTTCGCAGCTATCCCAGGGTGGCCCCAGCAATCCAGAGAAAAGGCTGCAGAGATGGGCCTTGAAGGCCAAGCCTGGGGACCACAGCAAGCCAGCTATATTTGACCCAGGCAGGGCAAGGAGTGACGGGCAGAAAGGTGTCTGGGCAAGCTGGAGGAGCTGCAGGAAGGGGCTCCAAAGGCACCCAATGTGTTGGCATAGGTGGGGACAGAGACAGGGAAGGGGGCTGAGGTGACAATACTAGCTACAGAAAGACCACCAGTGGCTGCAGGGAGGGGGTTGCAGACCCTTTCTTCCCCAGCCTGGGAAGTCCAGGGCTCCTGCTGAGCTTTTCTAAGGGAACCTTCACAGGACTTACTGAGGGAGCTCCCAGCAGGCTCTGCCGGGTCTCTTCCCAGGGGATAGGAACTTTTGGCCAGGCCAAGGGACTTGGTCAGCCAGAGACCATCCATGTGGGGGGGGCCTGCAGGGATCAGCAATTCCTCTCATCCATTAAAGCCAAGAGGGACTCCCACTTTAGTGACCCCACTCCCTTTTGCTCCTGTCCCAAAGTCTTATCCCCACTCTCTCCTCAGGGAAAGAAAACATGATGCTGATTGTCAACTACTATTAATAATGGCTACCCCTCACCATGTACCTAGTAAAGTGCTTCTAGGGACCCCATCTTACATCCTCCTCATCAACCCTCAACCCCCGTGATAGGCTGCACATAGCCCCATTACACATATGGGAAAACTGAGACAGGGGAGTGTCTCTGCCTCAAGGTCACAGGCAGGAAGGAAGACAAACAGCCAATGTCTCAAGGAGAAAGAAGACAGACCCTGCAGGTGGGAGTGGTGTTAGAGTGGCCTCCTGGTGCCCAGTTTGGGGGCAGGGCTTTGGGCTATACAGAGAGCCTGCAGGGGAAGGCTGCCTGAATGGTGGCTCCTCCTACCTCCACAGTAGCCTAAGATGGCTCTTGCTGAGACACACACCTGACCCATGTAGTCCCAACCCTGGACAAGCACGCAGCTTCACACCTCCAGGCCTTCGCTCTCACCCTTCCCTTTCTCTTCTGCTTGGTGGGCTTCTTCTAGACCCTGCTCTGATGACTCTGCAAGTGAACTGATCCCAGTTCCCAGTCGAGAATCAGACCAGGCCCAGAACTCCAGGTCCTCTAGATAGGGGTTCATCCATTGACCCCACCTGCCCCTGTCAGAAAAGTAGCACCTCAGGGCACACTCTGCCAGAGCACCTACCTCTTGGTGTGGCACGAAGCTCAGGCTTGGCCTGGGGCAGCAGCAGCTGGACTCACCAAACCCAACCCCACCCCACCCAGTTCCTCTCCATCCCTACCCCAGGACTTGGAAACAGGAGCAAGAACCAGCCCAAGGATCCTGGGAGGCCATGATCCTTCCGGGGCACAGTGGTTCCGCCAGGAGGTCTCACACCAAGTCTCCCTCGGCACTCAGGTGCCCTCAGCTTTTGTCTCTCCAATCCCTGGCACAGGAGAATCTGGCTTGAGACCAGTGGCCCTGGGTTCCAATAGGGAGGCTCATTTCACCCATCTGTGCCCAATTCTCCTCATCTGTGTGGGGCCTGGGACTGCAATTCACCACATGAAATGCAGCCAGCAAAGAACTTGGCACCTATTAAGGATCTTCAGTCCCATTTCACCTCTGGTCCCCTAGGCTCAACTCCCCAGACCCCCCAATCAGGTGGGAACATGGACACGATCAAAAAAGAGCCATTCTCTCCCAGATCCCATCCCACCCCGCCCTGTCCCCAACGTCATACATCCAGCCCAGCAGCCAAGGAAGGAGGCCCCCCATGCAACCTGGGTAGGTGGACCAAGAACGGTAACAGGCTCTGATGGCAGGGGTCCTGGCCTTTCTCAAGCTAGGGTGGGGCGGGGGTGAAAGGGGAACTCAGAGGAGTTGGGAGGTCGAATGGGTGGAGGGATGTGAGGGGGAAGGGGAAAGGGGACTTGTAAGGGAAACGAAAAGAAACAGTCAAACCCGTGTGTTGAGTGCGCCCCAGCGCGTCTGCACTAGGAAAGCACGTCCTCCCCCAGAACACCCAGAGTAGGTTTAAAAAAAAAAAAAAAAAAGCCCCTAGCCTCTGGCTGCGGGTGGAGGTGGGGATGAGACCTGGGGGCCCGGGGGATCTTCAAGGCCCCTGCCTCCCGGGCCTCCAGACTAGCGTTCACCTCACTCCCAGGGTCCGCGGGGTACACGACCCCCTGCTCCGATTGTGCTCACCGGGCAAGCGCTGGCCGGCGCTGCACCCGCACACACACCCCTGAAACACACACACCAAGCTCGCGCTCGCACACGCCTCCCTCCGCGCAGCGCCTCCTACCTGCCGCGCCGCCGCGGCTCAAGCCGGACTCCTGGGAGGTCGTTCACCGAGCAGGCACTGGAGCAAGACTGGACCGGCCAGCGCAGTGGCCTCGGGTTCTGGCATCAGCTGCAGCCGAGGCGGCCCCGGGCGGGGGCTGGAGCTCGGACTCCCGGGGTTCTGCTGCTCCGCCTGGCCCCGCCCCGCAGCCTCCACCCATTGGAGGCCAGGGGCGTGGCCTCCAGGGGGGTGGGCGGGCACGCAGTACTATGCGCATGCGAACTGGCACCGCGCAGTGGGGCTGGCACACCCGGAGGTGGTCGCTGGGTTTTCGCTGTGCACTGGGAGGGCGGCTCTGGGCCGGTCCACCCGCCTACCCTTCTCATCTCCAAGGGACCCCCGCGCTCCCTCCTTCCCAACCTATTTCTGTTCCCGGTAAAGAAGTATCCCCGGAAGCCCTCCTGGGCAGAGACCAGGGCGGCAGCTACCCGAGGGCCGGGGACTGACTGCTGGGCACCGGATCCGGCGGGGCAGAGTGTAAGACCCTCGGAGAGCGTGCAGAGGAAGCCGGCTGACTTTGGGAATGCATCTTGTACTGTGTGCAAGGGCCAAAGCAGGATGGCCGCCAGCCCCCCTCCCTTCCCCGTCTCCATCAATCCTCAAGTTTTTGGATGGAGGAGGAGAAATCCAGGTTCCCATGACACGCAGAAAGGGCCTTGTCAGTGAGCAAGCTGGCTCCGCCACCTGTACTGAGCACTTACTTGTGCCCATTAGACCGCAGCAGAAGGGGTCTGGATCCCGAGCTCGATCTCTGTGACTGTCTCCAAGAATACCCTGGAAGGCACCGGGCCTTGGTTACTTAATCTGTAAAGTGGGGACTATCATTCCCACCCACGCCAGGCTGTTGGGAATATGGTTGAGAAGATTTATGGCCGAACAAGTCTGACATGCAGCTGGGGCTGGGGCGGGCAGGTGTGGAGTCCTGGGCTCTGAGGCAGCAGAGCCCAGGCTTATCTGACTTAACTGACCCGACCATCGTGTATTTTTTGCAGCAGTTGAAACCCAGGCCCACCTATCCTCCCTCCAGTCTCCATCAAAGATATCAGCCTCTCAGTCACCCAGATTTCTCCCCGCTCTCCCGTCTCACCCTTCTACCCAGGCCACCTAAATGTCCCACAAGTGTAGCTCAACCCCCCTTGGGAGCCACCTACTCAGCCAAAGACTTTTCAAATGTGCAACTGATGCCCACCACCCAAGAGCAATGTGTCAAGACTGTAAGCCATATCACTCTCCCATTTCCCTAACCCTACACCCCCCCCCCACACACAGGCCCTTAAACACTCATCTCAGGGCTCTGCTCCCCACCTCAGCCCCAAACCACTGAAAGGCAGTTGCAACCTTCTCTATATTGCCACATCTGGGACCCCAGCTCTAATGCTGTTACTGGAGTCCCTGGCCAGAGGCCTGACTTGGGTTGTGTTCAACAAACCAGGTCCAGCCACTCTCCCCAAAAACTGAACAGAAAAGGTAATGGTGAAAAGCAGGAAAGGAATTTTAGTTAGTATGGCCATATTGGAAAGGCCAAAGATGATCCAGCATCTCAGCCTTGTCTCAGAGTGCCGACAGGAACCAGGTTTAAATAGAGAAAGAATTGGGGCAGGGAGTGAAAATATGCATAATTAAGAAGTCTTGGTCAAACTGTGGTCTGGTTAATCATTATCCAGTTCTGGTTTACCACGTGGCTTCAGAAGTCTTTATTGCTTGAGTGGGCAATCTTCATTTGCTTCTCAGGATGTTTATCAAAACTGTGAAGGGGTATTTTGTTCCCAGGAAATGGTGGCTCCTACTTAGGGTCAGTCTCCTCCTGTGGTGATTTGCCTGCATAGTTCCATTTTTCCTGGAAGGTGTAGGGCAACAACTGGAGATGTCTAGGCACCACTCTAGGAGTCTGAAACACGATGCTGTAAATGTCCCTGCAAATCTTGCCCAGTCTTGAAAGGGTATGAGATAGGTTAGGTGAATTTAGGGTTAATAAACTTTGTATTTCCAGTTTTTAGGTGATCACTCCTTAAATGATCCATATGCCTACCTGCAGAGCTGAGCAGGTCACAAAGCTCAAGGTAATAAAGGAGACATCCAAAATAAAGGCAGAGATGCCAAACTCTATCCTTTTGTTAGTTACATCTGCAGGCATCTGCAGACATCTGCAGGCCTAGGTTAAAGTTACTGCTATTAGAAAGCCTCTTTAAGTCCCTGTCATTTGCTACCATCTCCACAAAGCTCGCTGCCTCTTCAGCCTTCCCATTCTGGCTGTGGCCCTCCACTTATGCTGCCCCTTTCAGAGTTGGCCAGGTCTTAGCTTCCCCCATGAGGCTAAATCTTCTGGAGGTCAGAAACAGAGGCTCATTCTCAGGGAGAACTAAGCAGATCTGGACTCCAGTCCTTGTTCAGCCAGCTACCAGCTGTGTGACCTGGGAAAGTCCTCTATCCTTTCACGGCCTCATTTTCCTTGTCTGTAAAATGGGCTTCTTGAAGAGCAGGATGATCAGGCACAGGTAAGTCCTGGGGCCTGATTAAGGGCCCATGTCATAGGGTAGTTGGCAGCATTGCCTCTGGTGGGGCGACTTCTTATGTTCCAAGGTGGAGTTGAGGTTGTGTCTGAAAAGTGAGTCTTCCTCAGCCCACAAAACAGCCGAGATAGGAGGGTGCTCAGGTCCCTTCCGTATCTCGGAATGTTGGAGCTAGGTAGGGGTATCATGTAATGATTGTGAGCATGGGGTCTGCCTGGGCTCACATTAACCATGTGACCTTGAGCAAGGGACCCAACCCTGCTGTAGAACCAGCATAGTAGCACCCATACCAGGAAGTTGTGGGGACTGACTATGAGGGAGATATAGAAAGGGTGCAGGCAGCCAGGGCAAGATGTCCAGCAAAGAGTTTGGTGGCAGGGCCAGAACAAAGGAGCACGGAGAGGGTCTTCCAATGAGGTCAACTTCCTGCTTGACGAGAGTACTAGTGGAATACCAGTACTTTTGTACCACAAGCAGGGGATCCAATCAGACAGACCCGCATATTGTGCCCCTAGGTGTGGGGCTCCAATTTAAAAAATAAAATAGATGCATGGACACAGGGGGCACCAAGCAATGATAGTGTGGACATCCAGAGGAAAGGAGGAAAATCCAGAAACCATAAAAAGAACAAACCAAGATGCCCCCACTGGACTCCCAGCTCTGGGGCCACCTTCTCTTCAGAGAAGTCTGTCTCTGTTGCTTTTGCATTAAACCTGCTGCTTGCCTGCTATCTCTGTCCTGTTCTTCAATTATTTGCTGAACAGAGACAACGAACTCAGCACCCCTAGATGTTAACACCTGGTGGATCCATGTGGAGCCCTCACAGTGGCCTTTGGACGTGGTTTTCACCTAGCCCAACCCCTCATTTTGTGAAGACACAGGGTCCCCAGCCACAGAGGCCTGTTTGCATGACTAGCTGGAGTCCCAGTCACCCTACAATGTTAGGACCGAAATGACCCACCTTGAAGCCTGTTTCCGGCAGCTTCCACCTTTTCTAACAGATGAGTCCAAAGGCCTAGAGAGACAGTGGCCTGTCCAGGGCACCCAGCCCTGTGTGTGAGGGGACAAACATTGGCCCTGCTCCTGGGAGAAAGGATAAGCCAGGAAGAGCCAGGCTGCCCAACAAGTTTGCAGAAGGGGTGGGGCCTTGAGGCTTTCACCCTGGGACACTGCTGGTGGGTTTTTATAAGCTTAGTCATCTACTGGCACCATTAATGGCCTGATGTGTAAGTGTTTTTCCATTTAATTGTCACAACTGCCCTGTGCAGGATCCCCATTTTGCAGATGACACACTTAGCCTCAAGTCATACAATCAGTAAGTGGCAGAACTGGGGTCCCAGCCCACCCCAACTCCATCTACACTGCACCCCAGGTAAAGACTGACTACCTTTGCAGGCTCCTTGAGTGCTGCATGACCTCTCCTTGAATCCCCCTGTGACTGGGAACACATTTCCTCCAGGGCAGCCGAGTCCCCTCTACCTGGGGAGTCTTTCTCTCCCAGAGCTGATCCACCCCTTCATCTCTCTTTTCCTGGTTCTCTGCAGGACTCCACCCCCTCGCCCTTCCAATGTCTGGAATCTTCTCTCCTCCAGGCCAAAGAACCCCTATCCATACAGCTCCTGTGTATAAGGGATCTCCAGGTAAAAACCATGATAATGACTATTTGCTTTTTTTTTTCCCCCTTGAGGCCGGTTCTTACTCTGTCTGATGCCAAGACTGACCTTGAACTACTAGGCTCAACTGGTCCTCCCACCTTAGTTTCCCAAATAGCTGGGACTACAGGCTGAGGCACTGCACCAGGCCTGATTTTTTATTTTGATTTTTTGGGGTACCAGAGATTGAACTCAGGGACACCTAACCACTGAGTCACATCCCCAGCTTAACTTTGTACTATATTTAGAGACAGGGTCTCACTGAGTTGTTTAGTGCCTCACTTTTGCTGAGGCTGGCTTTGAACTCTTGATTCTCTTGCCTCAACTTTGCAAGATGCTGGGATTAGAGGCGTGGGCCACTGTGCCCAGCTATTTCTTTCTTTCTCCTTTTTTTACTTTCAGCAACCAAACCATGAAGCTTTTTGGTTTTTGTTTGTTTGTTTGTTTTGTTTTGTTTTGTTTTTGGGTACCAGGGATTCAACCCAGGGGCACTAAACCACCAAGCCACATCCCTAGCCCTTTTTTGTATTTTATTTAGAGACAGGGTCTCACTGAGTTGCTTGGGGCCTCACTAAATTGCTGAGGCTGGTTTTGAACTCACAATCCTCCTGCCTTAAGCTGCTTGGATTACTGGGGTTCACCACTGATCCTGACTGACCGACCCATCAAGCTATTTTTTAGAGCCCTTTTTAGAGTTTATTTATATGGGGAATGGCTCAGAGAGGTCCGGTGTGCTAAGGCGGAATATTAATATAAGCATGTTAGCCAGTCCCATCCAGATGCTCAGGGAATGGTTACTGACAGTGTTTTCCTAGGGCCCAGGAAACGGGAATATCATGTTGTATTCCAGTGCAGAGTGGATGTCATACAAGAGGGTGTGGAGGACAAAATGACCTTTAAGTTACCCTCAATTGCATCCCTCTCTGAAGCACTGCTTGTATTTTTTTTACTATCCTGGATATTAAAACCTAACCT